CTAGCAAAGGAACTAGCGAAAGTACAAAATGCCCCTTCCAAGTCGAACAGCGCCAACAAAAGACCACCTAGGGAAGCAATTAACATCTAGGAGCAGTCAATTTAATAACAGGAATGGCAAACAACGTCCAGAGAAATAAGTTATCGCATTCAATACAACAAGCACCTGAACAATTTGCAAATCTCCGAAACAACTAAAGTGCTTCAGTCCATTCATCCTCCGAAACACCTTCCATATTGTCCTGCTCCAAAGTTCGATCTTCTACTATTTTCGATGACCAACTGCTTTGCACCTTGAAAATGCACTTCGTCTCGAGTGAAAAAAGCAGGAGAATGAGGCACGAACTTACTTCCTTTCGATCCGGCTCCGCCTTTGGTTCATCCGCATGCTCCAATCGGGGAATTAACTGCCTCTGCGCAGTAGGCGCTGTTTGCGCTGCAGGTTTGGCTGAAATAACACCCATCAGCAGACTGTTACACGCTAGAAATTCCAAATAGAGCAGAACGAGCTCTCTCTTGCAATAAAACGGAGGAACGGACCGGACAATCGCAACTTGCTGCGGAGATGCGCGCGACGCATGGTACGGCCGTACGCGGCAAATTCTTTATGTACGTCAGTTTGTCGACTTTAGCAGCGGGACCAATGTGAATACAAGCGGAGGCAAGACTTCATGCCGAGAGATACTGACCCATTCCCTTTCCGTCTCTTCAACATTCAGATGCAGACGGTCAGGCAGGAAAACTCGTCCTTCGCTTGCATATCGGTCGCTGCACCTTGCGCGGCATATTACGATTGTCTTACCACACTACCTTACAACATATGCAAACTTACCTAGAGCAGAAACCCCTTCTGGCATCAGACTTTCAAACTGCGGCGTCTTTGAACTACCGGCTAGCCATTCTTCTGCCGTCATGACAGGTCGCCAAGTAACTAGAGCATCGGGAAAGAGATCCGATTGGAAAACGTCTTTCTGAAATTAAACCGAGAAGTTCATAAAATGCACAGTAGTTCACGGCTTAAACTACATTTGAAAAAAGTAGATCATTCACTTCCATGCCAACAAGAAAAAAGCAACAATGATAAGTAAGAAGACACAGAAGAAAATGGTGCTCTCTTTTCCATATACAGTCTTGCTCGCTGCCGATGCTGGGCGTGTCAGAGGGCTAAATTTGGCGTGAGGAAGCTATGTTTTCCACCAATAGTTGT